GCTTCAGGAGACAAACACACTCACCAAACACTCTGAGCTGATAGGAGCTGAAAACAGACTCTGTTTTAGACTCCAGTTTATAAAGTCCCGAGTCGTTCTTCTGCAGGTCTGTGATGGTAAAGAGTCCAGTTTGTTTGTTCCAGTGAACTCTGTTCTCATAGGTTTTGTCTTCAATATCAAATTCTCCTTTTCTTAATGAAGCTATGTTACTTCCTTTAAATAACAGAAACCCTCTCTGCAGGATGGAGTCTGTCAGTGTGATGTTTCCTCCAACAACTGCTATCAGCTCCTCCATCTTCTGTCCTCCAGCTGCAGAAAGTCCTGAAACAAAGGAGAGCAGCAGTCAGCCTCAGACACATCTGTAACATCTGGCCTGTGTCTGGGCAGGTGTGGCTGAACAGGTCATAAAGAGTCTTTTGGGGTTTCCCCCACACGATCTGCATTATATCAACCTCCTCTGCCTTCAGGAGAACGGACCAGAACCCACAAACGACCATCATTTTCAATAATTAGAGCTAGAACCTGCAGTCAGACGAGCTCTAAGCCAATCAAAGTTACAAAATGACTCTCCCTCGGGCAAAAACTGAATGTCATAATGCCATAAAACTCAATAACAACATGATGGATTTGCATACAGCCCCTGGGCAGAGCACCTGGGAGGTGGGGGCTGTTTTCTGCTCCAAACTGCTCCCAAATCCAGAGGTAAGAAGACAGAGATGGGCTCAGGGTTTTCCTCTAGTGATTAAAGCTGAGAGGGCAGAATCAGGACGGTTCAGTGAGTCTGTGGGGGCTGCAGGCCTCAGTTAGACCCCCCCCAACGGCTAGTAGAGGGGGGGGGACATTAGAAGGCTCTGTGATCTGCTCTTTATGCATTCCTTTCAGGTCTAACACGAAAGGGAGTTTCTAGGAAACATTAACCCATCAGGCCTCAACATGCCTCCTCTGCATTTTTCTTTCGTTCCAGGTCTCTGGATCAGAGCCAACGAGTTTAATAACTAGTCTGTAGTTTTCTTCATAGACGCTATGTGGGTTTATCTCTAGATTTAAAATGTCTGTTTACAGATTTAATTCATTTGGTTCTGAGGGTCCAAATGACTTATTTACCACATTTGAATTCCACCAATCAGACCTGATTGGTGGAAAATGTCTGAAAGCATTTTCCTTTAGATTTAAACAGCCGCTGGGCTGCTTTTGGGGAGGACAAACAGCAAAGAGGGAAGGACATAAACAAAAACAGGAAGTTCATAAACTCTAATCGGCGGGAAACAGGAACAGGACATGCACCCAAAAAAATGAAGAAGTAAATATAGCAGAAAGCCCAGAGCGGGGGGACTAAAAACGTCTCTGTGGTTTTCAGCTTCTGAGAACTTTAGAGGAAAGCCCCTCATTTATTCATCCGTCGGAAGCCGAGCAGAGCCTCAGTCTCTAGATCTTGTCAGGAAGGGGGGGTTCATGGAGGGCTCAGTTGCGGAGATGAGGGGAAACGAGGTTTATTGTACAAAAAAACTGAGTGAATGTCCAGACAAAGTACAAAGCAAGCTGTGGAAAACTGTGATCAAAGTATCAAAGCAAGGCAAAACAAGACTGTGGCAAAACTATGACTGTGACAAAGTAACAAAGTAAAGAATGACAAAACTGTGGCAAAACTGTGACTATGACAAAAACAAAAGACTATGGCAAAACAAACCTGGCGTGGGGGTGACGATGGACAAGACGGACGAAAGACGAAAACGCACTCGCACAAGACAAGGGGAAACGAGGACTATTTAAACACATGAGGGAGGGAAACCCCAGGTGTACACAATAGGTAATCAAGACGAGACGAGACACCAGACGTGACAGAGCCCCCCCCTTAAGGGACGGCTCCCAGACGGCCCTAACACACA